TCGTTTCGCTAGATAAGACCCTTCTTCCTCGGCTGGGATCGTTTAGAGCTCTTTGAAGCTGCATTTAAACTGCATTTTGGAAGTTCAAACTCAGGGGCACCATAGAAGTCCATTATATGGAGAGAAATCCTGAAATGTTTTCCTCAAAAAACATAATTTCTTTACGACTGAAGAAAGAAAGACATGAACATCTTGGACGACAAGGGGGTGAGTACATTATCTGTCAATTTTTGTTCTGGAAGTGAACTACTCCTTTAAAATAAGGACAAAAGAGACATATATGGCACTAGCAACCTTCGCACTTAAGGTCCTTGCACACGGAGTCTGAAATTTTAGAAATTTTTTATGACCGAACAATAAAGAATCAAAACACTTTCAAACAATATCTAGGGCATGTTGTAGTCCAGATTAAAATGTAAAAAAGTTTGAGTGAAAGTAAATAGCCTTAAGCCTAAATATTTTAAGTTAGGTTTTTGGAGCTGTGATGAACACCATAGCAAATACACAAATCTGAACGGCTATTTAAATAATTTAAACATGTTTCAGAAACACTAAGGAGCTCAGCTATTTTGGTTTCCGGCATAGATTTGTATAGATTCCCTATTCGACCGCTCCAGATACGTTGACGCGTCAACTTGACGTCATTCACCATAATAATCAATGAATATTCAAAGATATACATGCGTATAACTTACTGATGTAGACGCACACAGTCAGCTTTCACTCAAGGTTTCCAGAGCGCTCCAAAAATGGCGGATGGCTTACTTATCGCGACCCATAGAAACTAATGAGGCATCTACGTATATATACACTACCGGTCAAAAGTTTGGGATCAGTAAGACTTGTAATGTGTTTTAAAGAAGTCTCTTCTGCTCATCAAGGCTGCATTTATTTGATCAAAAATACAGAAAAAAACAGTAATCTTGCAAAATGTTATTACGATATAAAATAAGGGTTTCTATTTTAATATCCTTTAAAATGTAATTTATTTCTGTGATGCAGCAAACACGCGTCAGGAGTCTGAGCGCTGCAGAGAGTGTCAGTAAACATCGGGATGTGAGCGCTCACCCACGCAGCTGTCTCCGTTGGGCTGTCTGGTGTATCCCGGCGTGCAGATGCACATGTACGTGCCGATCAGATTCTTACAGGTCATTCCTCTGGACGCACAGTCATCCAGACCCTCCTCGCACTCGTTCTGATCTGATGAACACAAGAGGAGCGTTCAAACGTGATGATGTGTGTTTGTGACGCAGAAAGACTCGTCTTTACCTCTGCACATCCGGCGGTCTTCTCTCAGCACGTATCCCGCTGGACATTTGCATTCGTACGAGCCCACCGTGTTGACACAGCGGAACGCACACAGCAGGGGATTCTGGGAACACTCGTTGATATCTAAAAACACAGCACACGTTTTCATCAGATGTGTTCACAGCAGAGCCGTGGAAAATGATCAAAAACGTCCTTATCGTTCTGGTTATATTGTATTAATATACATATATTGTACGCTATGGAGTGTTACGTTTTTGAAAAAGTTTTACAAATAAAGTACTTAAAAACAATTTTTTTTACAAATTATTTTAAATCAGTGCTATTGGTCATCGTTATGTCTGTTTGAGGGTTTTACAAATATTTAACCAATGAAAAGCATTCGAAAGAGCTTGTGCCTTGAGCCTGTCTGTGAGAGAACTGCGTGGAGAAATTAAAACAAATGAACAACTGCACACAGACGAAACACAAACATGTAACTTAGTTTATAAAGCGGATAGTTCCGGTGCTTGATTCTGATTGGCTGAGCCGCGTTCGAAGCTGTTGTAAATGACTCTACAAAGTAACATACACCTTTGTTTACTTCTGTGTGTTGCTCGGCAACCACTTTGTAGCAACCACAACTGTTTCTGAGGACATTATAGTTATAGCTATCGTTATCGCTATAATTACAATTCATCATAGTTATTGTTAAAGTTATCATTATAATTATCACTATGTTTATTGTTATAGTTCTTGTTGTAGTTATTAAAGTTATTTCTATAGTTATTGTCATAATTATTGTTCACACTATATTTACTATAGTTCTTGTTATAGTTATGACTATAATTATCTCTATATTTATCATTATATTTATCGTTATCATTCTTGGTGTGAATGTATCTTTATGCTGAAATTTCCTGTTTCTCAGATGTGTCTCCTGAGAAAAAGAACCCCAGTAATCTCACGTATCCCCTCTAAAGTCTCAGGAGAGATCTCAAAAATGTCTCAAACTGTGATTTCAGATTTGCTCAAGCTGCCAATAAGAAGTTAAAGATCTCAAACAATTCTCATCAAATGATCTGAGCTGCTCCACATTCATGTTAAACCTCTAGACTCTTACTGGAGGATGACCAGTGACTCATTTTTATGGAATTTTAGGAGAAGCATCTGAGACAAAGCTGATACTTCAATGAAACATCACGTCTCCTGAGCAATGAAAGAGCAGTGGACTGAGCTGCTACGAAGCTTACAGTTAGCCGCGGTGAGCCACACTCTTACCGATGCACTCAGTTCTGCTGGGACTGGGACTGAAGCCCTGATCGCAGACGCAGCGGTAACTGCCCACCGTGTTCTCGCAGCGGCCGTTCTCACAGATGCCTGGTTTGGCCGTGCATTCGTTCAGATCTGTGCGCAAACACGCGTCAGGAGTCTGAGCGCTGCAGAGAGTGTCAGTAAACATCGGGATGTGAGCGCTCACCCACGCAGCTGTCTCCGTTGGGCTGTCTGGTGTATCCCGGCGTGCAGATGCACATGTACGTGCCGATCAGATTCTTACAGGTCATTCCTCTGGACGCACAGTCATCCAGACCCTCCTCGCACTCGTTCTGATCTGATGAACACAAGAGGAGCGTTCAAACGTGATGATGTGTGTTTGTGACGCAGAAAGACTCGTCTTTACCTCTGCACATCCGGCGGTCTTCTCTCAGCACGTATCCCGCTGGACATTTGCATTCGTACGAGCCCACCGTGTTGACACAGCGGAACGCACACAGCAGGGGATTCTGGGAACACTCGTTGATATCTAAAAACACAGCACACGTTTTCATCAGATGTGTTCACAGCAGAGCCGTGGAAAATGATCAAAAACGTCCTTATCGTTCTGGTTATATTGTATTAATATACATATATTGTACGCTATGGAGTGTTACGTTTTTGAAAAAGTTTTACAAATAAAGTACTTAAAAACAATTTTTTTTACAAATTATTTTAAATCAGTGCTATTGGTCATCGTTATGTCTGTTTGAGGGTTTTACAAATATTTAACCAATGAAAAGCATTCGAAAGAGCTTGTGCCTTGAGCCTGTCTGTGAGAGAACTGCGTGGAGAAATTAAAACAAATGAACAACTGCACACAGACGAAACACAAACATGTAACTTAGTTTATAAAGCGGATAGTTCCGGTGCTTGATTCTGATTGGCTGAGCCGCGTTCGAAGCTGTTGTAAATGACTCTACAAAGTAACATACACCTTTGTTTACTTCTGTGTGTTGCTCGGCAACCACTTTGTAGCAACCACAACTGTTTCTGAGGAGCTACATTGTTTGGTGGAAGAATACTGTTTTTATTAATATCATTACACTTTATTTGCTCTGCTTTATTTTGTGAAACATTACTACGTATATGGAATAACCGTTTTATAACACACAGCGGTGTTTCGTTACTGAACGATTCAGCGTTTTTGAATTTTGAATCATTTGAGTCAATGATTCAGTGGTCCATACATAAACACAGGCACTTGTTTCATTCTTGAATGAATCAGCCGTCTGAACGAATCGTTTGAAGGCAAGCTTCAATGACTCATTAATTAAGACAGACACTTACTGCCACCTACTGGTGGTTTACTTTCATAGTAGTTTATCTTTGCATTTTTTCCAACATTTCATATTTGTATATTTAAAAAAAACTATTTTAAAACACCAAGCTCACAACATTATTTATGCTGTTATAATTTTGCAGTCTAAAAGCATTCTTGGTATATTTCAGCTATATTGAACCGTCTGTGTAAATGCATCTGAACGCCACTCCAGTCACTTCTGTTTCTTCTGCAGTGGAAAGATCGGTTTTGTTGATACTGATTTAACGTGATTGGTAACAGCCCTATGTTGTCTTAGTATATTAAGTGAAACTATTAATAAAAAGTAAGAATTTGATATGAAAGATAATACATGCATTTAATACGGTTAGGGAAAAATGCCCTTTAAATAGGCCAAAAATGACATGGAAATCAATTTAAATGTATGCAGTATAAAGTCATATAAAATGTAATTTCCCAACAACAAAATTGTGGCCGGTGAAAATGCAGAGTGGATTAACTGCCTCAGATGCGGCCTTTCTAATGATGGACAAAACACAGATCTCCATCATTCGGTCGTCAAAAACCTTGTTAACTCCATTTCAGTATGATTTTCAGAAATGAAGTGCAAGTGTCTGATCATATATAACGCCAAAATACCAGCTCTGATGACGCTTAGCGGTGTGCCGTGGGATTTTTTTACATATCAAAACTGTGCCGTGGCAGAAAAAAAAGTTGGGAAACACTGCACTAGAGAGTGTTTGTAAACACGTGGATGATTCTCCATCAGTGTGAAAACAATCCAGACTGACTGAACGCTGGAGATCTGTCTGTTATGGTTTAGTGTACGTCTCTGTCTGTCTGTGCATGCAAGTCAGTTTGAGCATGTTTATGTAGATTTTGTAGTAGAATCAAAGCAACAGAAGCATGGTTAGTGAAGCATAAAGGGTCGTTCCCACAGAACATGTTATGCATTTAAAAATGCGAGATGCAGGGCAGTGGAATGAAAAAACGCAAGGACTGGAGTCTGGAGATTTTTTAGAAGTTGAGCTACTTTTAACTTGAAACGATGTAATAAATAAAGGTGAAAGGCGTTCGTCTAATATGTTTATATAGAACAATGGAAAAGCAGCACAGTACACGGAAAAAACACTAGTGTAGGATTAGGGTTGCAAAAAGGTGTAAAATTTCCAGAAATTTCGGAAACTTTCCAGGATTTTTGGGAATATGCCAGGGATTTTTGGAAAGTTTCCGGAAATTTGCCACCCCTTTGCAACCCTATGTTGGATACACTTTGATAAAAATGTATAATTGATCAAAATAATTTTCACCCAGAAATTGCTAGTAAATTTCACAAAGAATTACAAAGAAATGGCAAATACCTATGGAAGTCTGTTTCCACCACAGAATAAAATAATAAAAAGAGGTAACTGCGACTTTTTCTTTCAATCTTGAGTTTATATCTCACAATTCAGAGTTTGTTTCTCACAAGTGGTAGAAAAAAGTCAGAATTGCGAGATTTAAACACAGAATTCTGAATTTTTCTCAGAATAACCTTAAACGCAATTCTGAGTTCATATCTTTAAATTTTTAATTATTACTTTTTTCAAAAAGTCAGAATTGTAAGATATAAATTCAGAATTGTGAGAAAAATGTCAGAACTTTTTATTAATATTTTATATTGATGGCGAAAACACAGTAACATTAATTAAAACGTGAAAGATTTTTGAAGTAGAATGACTGAAATAGTATTCCTGTAAAATGCACTTTTTTTATTTTCAATTTGTTTGTTTGTTCATTTCTAGTTTAGCAACATGCCAGCTACCACGGCTATATTCATGGTGAGAAAAAAAGATAGATATAGATTTTTTTAAAGAAGTTTGTAACATTGGTCTTTGATAAATATTTAAACTAAAACTGGTTAGAAAAATCATTAGATTTAGATTGGTAATCAGCTGCTGCTAGTACTCACAGTCATACTCATGATGAAGACGCAAATATACAGCGGATCAGAACTGAACCCAACTGGGCTTCAGATCGAATGAACAAAGTGTGAGAGAGTGGCCTACAGGAACATCAGCAGATCTGGAGAATAACTACAGCAGCAGCTCATCACTGACCTTCACAGGTCATCATGGGTCCGGGCTCGAACCCCTCGTCGCAGCTGCACTCAAACGCTCCCTCCATGTTTGTGCAGGAGCCGTTCCCACACGGGTTCCCCAGCTCACACTCGTTCGTGTCTGAAGACGGAGAGCGCAGGAAACACACACACACACACACACACACACACATACACACACACACA